GGCAGATGGCAACATGAATATTTCCTCATCATTGTCCTGTACTTGGATCATTTTACAGCCCTGTGTCTCAAGCTGAATACCTGAAAAGCAGGTATGTCCCATGTTACGCATGGTGACTGTCAGGTTTACACAGGATGTGACAATGAGCAAATAGTTCTTGTTATGTTTACCCATTAAGATGTGCCAACTTTATGGGTTTACTGGCGACTATGACAGGTGAGTGCAGCAAAATTATTTTATCATATCCAGCTCCAGCCAACCAAGAGGGTCTTTGTTGGACACATGATCCACACCACACTTGATTCAGATAGATGTTGAGCTGTACATCAGTAATATAACTGAACAAAGCCATGCCATTATAGTCGGCAAACTGTTTACATTGTGTTGCTACCAGTTTTCTGACAGCATTCCTCTCGTCTATCATTTGCTTTAAAATTGCTGCTTTTTACTGTCAGAACTCTTTATATTCGTCACAGCTTTCAATTATAACAACTTGTTCCTCTTGACTGAAGCAGGTGGCACCTGACATGGTCATTTTGGGTGAAAGGAAAGTGAAATGGCACATTAAACTTCCTCTTTTATGAGAGCAGGAATAGAACTTGGTGAAGAAAATATGGGTTAACAAAGAAAGTTGCCAACTGTTTTTATGATACCAGTTCAAATGCGTCAGCCATATCAGATCCAGGGGCTTAAAGCACCTGCAGTTCACCGCCTTTCTGGAGGAAATAGAGTCAGCATATGAGGATGTGCTCTACTTTACCGAGGTACGTTGGCTCAGCAGGGGAAACATCTTGAAGAGGTTTTTTGAGTTGAGAGGAGAAGTGAAAGCCTTCATGGAGAAGGATGGGATGACTGCTCCTGTGCTAAGGGATCCCAAATGGCTCATGGACTTAGCTTTTCTTGTTGACATCACACAGGAGATGAATGTGCTGAACAGGAAGTTACACATCCAGGGCCAGCTTGTCAGTGCTGCTTATAACAATGTCAGAGCATCCTCCACAAAACTTGTGTGATGGAAACCCAGCTTTCTCAGACAAACTTCTGCCATTTACCTGCATACAAGGTACTCATGGATTCGGACACACCTTTCAGTGGTGAGAGGTATGATGATTGTAAAGCTACAGGAGCAGACTTCAAGACACACAGAGACACTTTTCTAATTTTTGCTGACCCCTTCTCCTTCAATGTGGAAGATGCTCCTCCTGTGCTTCAGATGGAACTAATTGACCTGCAGTGCAATTCTAAACTCAAAGCCAAGTTCAGGGAGGTGAGTGGAAAAGCAGACAAGCATGGACAGTTTTTGAGAGAATCGCCCCCCACCTTCCCTGAGCTTTCCAGGATGTTCAAGCGGACCATGTGCCTTTTTGGGAGCAGCTATCTGTGTGAAAAGCTCTTCTCCACCATGAACTTTAATAAGTCAAAGCACAGGTCCAAACTTACTGATGAGCATCTTCCAGCCACGCTGAGGGTCTCAGTTGCTTCCTCCCTCAAGTCAAATGTGGCTCAGCTGTGTAAGAGGAAGCGCTGCAGGTCTCTGGCAGCAAGGAGAAAGTAAGAGACGCTTATGTTCATGGTCAGAATTGTTATTAATAAAGACTGAGAAGATTGGATCAGTTGTACTTTATTTGTGAAACACTTGATGCGGTCTCAGCCAGACTCTACCTCCAGTGGCCCCCAGATAAGCTGAGTTTGAGACCGCTACTCTAAATGAGCTTTACGTTTTGTTGAGTCAGCTAACACAAGTCAAATGTTCGCTATGTTGAACTTGCTTTGTAGTGCAACCCTCAGGAAAAAGTTTCTCTTCTGTGATACTGATCTTAAATGATTCTTCTTTGTCTTGTGTCATAGGTGTTCGTCAAAGAAGGCCAAGGCAGTAGCGCTGAGTTTTCTGCCTATTCTGACATGGCTGCCGTCCTATCCAGTCAAGCAGTACCTCTTTTCGGACGTGGTGTCAGGTCTCAGTACAGGAGTTGTGCAGCTCCCTCAAGGTCAGTCCCCTGCAGCACTGCTGTATCATACAGTAGCCATGACGGTCAAAGAATGTGAAGGGCTAGCTGCCAACTCCCAAGAGACTGTTTTCAGCTTCACGCTGTCTTTGTTTTGGTATCCCTGTAGCTCTCATGTGATGCAATCACTTGGCCTCTGGGACTGTTTTGTTTGATTTTTCTTTTCTCT